GGACAAAGTACGATGAGTTATGTTTTATTTATACGTTAATGATTATGAAAACAGGTATATTATGCTTGCAGAGATGATCCTAGTCCGGTTAAATTGAATTTGACCGCAGGTACCTATCAATCTGAGGTAATTTTGTTTGTTCTGTCTAAGTTCCATGCATGATCCTCACAGTCTCTATGATTAAGTTAATTTAAGAGCTCATGTTTTTAATTAGATTAGATTTTTTTTTTTTTTTTAAAGGAAGGAAAGCCCCATGTTCTTGAAGTGGTGAGAAGAGCAGAACAACAATTAGCGAACGACTTGTAAGTTTTTAAGAAAATTGTCAGTAAGACCTCAAATGTTTCAATCGCAATTTACGGCGTTTGTCAATTTTGCATCAATATATGAAAAATAATTTTACATTTTTATAAAAATTGAGAGCTTTTGTAAATTTGTAGTGTATTTTGTAGATTTAAATTGATATAAAATAATTGTTTTTGTTTAATTATAACAACTTTCGGAATCTAATAGATATTCATGTTATCTATAAACACAAACAAAATCGCAATTTGTAGTTTTCTAATGCCCTTTTTTTTTGTTTGTGGATTAATTAATCTATGATTAATTATTATTATTTTACCTTCAGGTCCTGGAACAAGGAATATCTTCCACTTAATGGACTTGCTGATTTTAACAAATTGAGCGCCAAGCTAATCTTAGGTGATGATAGGTAATAAATTCACTGTTTTATAATTAGATTTTCTTTTGTAGCTAGCTCAATGTTTATGATATTTTCTAAACCCTTTATGTTATTTCTCAGTCAACTATAAGTATTTTATTTGTATTTTTGGGAAGTCTTGCAGTGAAAGAGAATAGAGTTGTTACAATCCAGTGTTTGTCTGGTACTGGTTCTTTGAGAGTTGGAGCTGAGTTTCTAGCAAAACAACACCAACAAGTAAATTTTATCACTAATTTATTTAGTTTTGTTAATGGCCATTAGAATTTGCGGTAAAATTATATGCAAAGCTTTAAGAAGATACATATGCAAAACGAAATAAATTGTGTTTCTCATTTCTTTCAGCGTGCCATCTTCGTTCCAAACCCAACTTGGGGGAACCATCTCATTATTTTCAATTTGGCGGGTTTGTCAGTAGAGTATTACCGTTACTACGATCCAAAAACCCGAGGACTCGACTTCAAAGGTTGATTTTATAATTATGTTCATAGACTCTTTGTCTATCACCTTCCTCATTGTTACATTTTTATCTTAATTTTCGTTTGCTTCTATTTAGATTACTGTTTGATTGACCCATTCACACCAAACTTTCACCAAGTTTTTCTTGATATGACCTAAATGATGTTAAGTG